CCTGCGATGAGTGAGAGAAAAGCAAGAACATGTCGAACATGCTCAGACCTTGTGATCGCCCACACACACCCCGTGTCGTCCATTCCTCCTGTTAGGACGTGTTCGCCCGAGCCACTGAAGCTAGCGACTCGAATGTCAGAGAGAAGCAAACAGACGGTGACGAGGGTCGTCAGCGACGAGTCCGTTTGGTTGAGTGTGATATGGAGCGAGCTCCAGGCAATGAGGACCAACGAGCTTTCAACATGTTTCAGCGGGGACGTTTCTCGCAGAGAGGGAGAGAAGGATACGAGCTTGAATGCACCCCAAGTCGTCATCGGGCCCGTACCTCCTCACCAAGACTCTCTGTGACGTGCTCCACAGGCACAGGTGTTCCGCACATATACAGACAGCATGCTCTCCATCGCAAGATATGCGGAGAGGAGAGGAGAGGAGAGGAGGGAAGGAAACGTGTTGGTAGTGGGGAAGAGACATTGAACAGATACATGGTAGGCGCGTATAGGGAGGTGATGATGCAACAGGTGGTGGTGATGGAGGAGGAGGAGGCAGGAAGGAATGAGGGAAGGGCTCAAGAAACGAACCCATCATGACCCGTCGGACAGGATGGGGATCTGTCTTTGGGTTGCAGTAGGACAGCAGCGCGTCTCCTCTCAGAAGCTCCTTGAGCGACTTGTCCCGTGCCGTGTGGGCTCTCGAGCTGAAGTTCTTGTCCAGGAAGGGGTTGAAGCGAGAGTGCTGAATGAGCTCCCAGACTATCTGGACTGTGTTAGGGAGGAACGTAGGGTCTACTTTGTTGTCGATCATTTCAAGCCAGCAGCCATCGGGTATCGGAGCATCTCCTATCCTCCTCCTCCCTCGCTCGTCAATGTGAAGCAGCGGGCAGGAGAGGCAGGGGCAGCCGAGGTCGTCGAGCTGATGGTGCATGAGCTCGTGGAGGATGACGTACCGCTTGTCGGGCGTGCTCGGGTTCACCAGGCACAGAGGAACGAGCGTCCTCTCGCAGCGGAGAGACCTGCCGTGGGCCCCGATCCCCATGCTCCTGTCAAACTTCACCCGTGCTCGGCGAGCTAGGTCGCCCAGGACGTTCATCTCCTCCTCTGTGAGAAAAGCTCTGAGTGAGATGTAGGAGCTGGGGTGGTCAGGGGTCCAATCCTCCTCCCACCGTCCTCCTCCGCACTCCAAGCAGACCTCGACTCCCTCCTCCGTCAGCCTCTTGGCTGTGCAGGAGGGAACGCTCTCGTAGAAGGCGATGGCGTCCTCCCTCCTCTCAAACTCTTCATGCTGGACTTTCCCGTCCCCTCTCCAGCAGACTTGGAATGGAAGAATTGGCACTGACATGCTTCCTTGCTCCTTGCACCACTTGTTCCTCTTCGTGTGTCCTCCCTCCCTCTCCCTCTCCCACCCTCCTCTCTCTCCCTCCCCCTCCCTCTCTCCTCTCACTTCCTCCCTCCCCCCCTCTCCCTCTCCCTCTCCCTCTCCCTCTCCCTCTCCCTCTCCCTCTCTCTCCCTCCCTCGCTCCCTCGCTCCTCCTCCTCTCCTCCCCTGCCCCCCTTCCCTTTTGGCCCTTCCTGTCACCTGGCAGTTTTTTTGTCGCCCAGTAATATGACGAGGGGGAGGGAACGGGGGAGGGAGAGGCGACTGGGGGAGGGATGGAGAGAGGGAAGGGAGAGGGAAGAGGGTGAAGAGGAGAGGATGAGAGGCTCGAGGGGGAGGGGAGGAGGAGGAGGAGGAAGAAGACAAGAGCTCGTTGTTGTCTGCGTCTTGATGTGGTTTATTTTTGTATTCCGCACAGGGCGTACCACTGCAACCGAACATGGAAGAAGAAGAAGAAGAGGGAGGGAGGGAGGG